ATGTGAGAAATTCTATCCAACTGCTTCTTAATCTTGCTCATTTTAAGTCTTACAATGGATTTGCTTCTTGCTTTTCCAAAATATATAGAAATCGGTAAAACTAGATTTTGATAGCAGTGAAAGATATTCTTAATTACTACTATTCTGTATTTGAAGTAATTGCATAGACTATCTTGCTTGAATGTAATCTCAGCTTAAAGTGTGGGCTGTCACATTCATACATTTATGTAATACCTTTCAGTTCTTTTCTGGTAGAAACATTTCACACAAGGGAAATAATTGCAAAAGTGGCTCACAGATCCTGAGTTACAGAGTTCACATTGAAAGATTAAATACATTTGGGGTCTTTGAAATCTGCCTTGGCAAAAAGTTCTCTAACTCTAGTCCTCTAGATTGCGATGTTGGGCTTGGAAGGCTTCTGGGGTTGCATTGTATGAAACTGCAGTATATGTCCATTTTAACAATGAATTGGGGACATCACTAGAAACTTGAGCATATATATGTACGTCTCAATATTGGATTTATGACATGATTTCAAGAGCACAGATTACTTTGGGGGCAGGTATATACTGTGGTCATGATTTTCTGCTCAGCTGTGTGGATGATAACCTTTAATTGTAAGGAGTCCAACTGTAGAAAGGGCCGCGTGGTAACAGGCCGCCCTTCTCAGCAGAGATGCTGTGAGACTCTTGTGGTTTCGTATTTTCCCTGTAGCAACTGCACATATCCTTCACTGAAACCAGCTGGGTTGTAATCAAGGAGAGATGAACACTAAGATGTACGGTTCCTGATCGGTGTTTCCTAACCTTTAGAACTTCTGGAGGCAAAGTAATCTGCTTATGGCCGGTGCTTGCTGCATCCCCCTCTCCCAGCCTAACTCTTGACTGCTGATTAAAAATGGTCTCAATTGAGTAGATACTAGCATTTATCTTTCATATCTGAAAAGGGGTCATTGACCAAACTAGATAATTTATCCTTCCAGATACCTTGCAAGTAAAACACGTGCTGTTTATAATTTTTAAAAACGTTTATTACAGTCATTTAAAATCGCAGTTCATGCCAAATGGTAAACTGTCCGTAAAGGGTTTGTCACACTCAGGAATTATTACCTTAGTTTTCTGCAAACCAAACCAAACCAAACCAAACTCTGTGCCGTCAAGTTGGTTCCAACTCATAGTGATCCCTTCTTGGGTTTCTGAGGTGGTATCTCTACGGAAGTAGATTGCCCAGTCTTCCTCAATTGTGTGATTTTGATATATATTTTTTAAACTGGTGGACTACGCCACCAGCGCTCCCTTTTATGCAGAAACTGATTTTTGGCAGACAATGCTCATTTTTAATTTTTCATGATTGAACATTTTTCTTCGCTTAAAGACATAGGAGCTGTAGTTTGCTCTCTCTTCGTTTTTGTTGCACAGCAGTCTGTTCATTTTGTGGACATCGTGTGGTGGTTTAGGTGTTGTGTAGTAAGTGCAGTACCAGTGCTTACCCATATCTAAGTAAGAAGTAGGGAAAAAAAATCTGTCAAATTTGTTCCTAAAAAAGCACTAAAGATAGAAACATTTTACATCTTAAATGATTATACCTTCATGTTTGGATAAACACCATTACTTGTGGTGTAAATTTAAGTTAGGATTTTGCATTTGTAATCTGAATTTACCTCAGGATTGTAATTGGGAATATAAAAACCAAGGGATCATTGGACTCTGTCAGAGAGGAATGTTGGGGATGTGGTGGTGGAGGCCCTGTGGTAGCATGTGGATGGCACAGTCACCTGTGCACATCGTAGCGTTTTCCTGCTGGATTAAGAGACAGACCCACACGTGTATGTGGACATATGTGGATGCATTTGCATTTCCGTGTATGCACATCAACATTCAGTTCATAGGGATTGTTAGTTATCTGAGCCTTAGGCTGGCCATTCATGTATATTGGCAGTCCATTACCCTATAAACTAGGGGTGGTTTGAGTGGTACAGACAGCAATGGCAGTACATTTAATATTGATCAAACAAGCTTAACATACGTATTACAAAAAATTTTTTTATAAGCATTTATCCTTCCAGTACAAGGTCTTATCTAGGATCATGATTTGCATTTAATTGTTCTTTCTCTTTGTTGTTGTTGTTATGTGCCATCGAGTCGGACCTGACTCGTAGCGACCCCTCCTTGGGTTTCTGAGGCAGCATCACTATGGAAGTAGATTGCCCAACCTTCCTTCCGAAGAGTGGATGGTGGGTTTGAACCACCAGCCTTATGGTTAGCAGTCAAGGGCCGTAGGTACTGCACTACCAGAGCTCCTTTCTTTCTCTTTAGTTTCCTTTAATCTGGAATATTTACACAGAGTTTTTATCTTTGATGTTGTTGGCATTTTTGAAGAATGTAATACTGGGATTGTGTGCTAGGAGTATGCTTTAGAACCATACTGTTGAACCATTGTTAAATAAGGTTACTTAAAATTGTTTTCTGCATTCATTTTAACTATGTCATGGGAGAAAAACACCAAATCTTTCCATTTTAAAAAGCTCAGCTTTTCAAACGTTACGTTTTACTACTGAAATTATAGGTGGGACAAATTTTGTTGGTGTTTAATTCATGCCTGGGTAATCTGTAAAGATAACAGCATAATCTAGAACTCCTGATTAATGATTGTGTGATTTTGATACATATTTTTCAAACTACACGTTGTAAGTTTGATCAGCACTTCCTGTGCTTTTTGACATTTTTATTTATCGCCTTGGTAGAATAGTGCCACCTAGTGGGAATTTATGTCATTCATTATATGTCTGCTACAGAGTCTTGATGAAAGGCTGTAGATGCATTTTAACATATTAAGAAAGCATAGTTTAGAATGTCTGAACTTCGTTAGTTGTTGTGGAATTCTTTAGAACAATGAGTTGTCTTGTTCTATGCAGTAGTTTTATTCAGTCTGTATGTTGAGCAAATAATTCAAGAAGCTGGACTGTATGAAGAACACAGCGTCAGAATTGGAGAAGACTTGTTAACAACCAGCTATATGCAGGTGACCCAGCCTTGCTTGCCAAAAGTGAAGATGACTTGGAGCACTTACTGATGAAGATCAAAGACTACAGCCTTCAGTATGGATTACACCTCAACACAAAGAAAACAAAAACCTTCACAGATGGAGAAAAGATTGAAGTTGTCGAGGATTTCATTTTACTTGGATCCACAGTCAATGTTCATGAAAGGAGCAGTCAGGAGATTAGACATTTTATGGCAGTGGGCAAATCTGCTGCAAAAGACCTCCTTAAATTGTTAAAGAGCAAAGGTGTCACTTTGAAGACTAAGGTGTACCTGCCCCAGGCCTGTGGTATTTTCAGTCACTTCATTTGCATGTGAAAGCTGGACAGTGAATAAGGAAAACTGAAGAAGAATTGATGCATTTGAATTGTGTTGTTGGCAAGGAATTCTGAAAACACCATGGACTGACAGAAAACAAAACAAAAACAAACCAAACTTTATCTGCCAGTGAGTGGATTCTGACTCTTAGTAACCCTCCATTGGGTTTCTGAGGCTGTAAATCTTTACAGCAGTAGGATTCTCCGTCTTCCTTTTGTGGAGCTCTTGTTGTTGTTGTTAAGTGCCATCGAGTCGAACCCGACTCACAGCGACCCCTCCTTGGGTTTCCGAGGCAGTATCACTACGGAAGTAGATTGCCCCATCTTCCTTCCGAGGAGTGGCTGGTGGATTTGAACAACCAGCCTTGTGGTTAGCAGTCAAGTGCCTTAGTACTATGGAGCTCTTAGTGGATTTGAACCTCTGACCTTCTTTCTGGTTAGCAGCCAAATGCCTTAACCACTACACACCAGAGCCTCCTTATAGACTGACAGAAGAATGAACAAATCTGTCCTGGAAGAAGTACAGCCAGAATGCTCCTTGGGAGAAGTGAGAATGCCAGGCTTCACTTCACATACTTGGGTCTCATGTTGTCAGAAGGGACCATTCCCTGGAGAATGATATCATGCTTGGTAAAGTTAGAGGGTCTGTGAAAAAGGTGAAGACCCTCAATGAGATGGATTGACACACTGCAGTGACGGGCTCAAGACGTGGCAAAAACTGTGAGGGTGGTCCAGGACAAGACACTGTTTTGTTCTGTTGCACAAAGGGTTGCTGTGAGTCGGAGCAAGCTCAGTAGCACCTAACAACAACACACACAACACACAACAACATACACAACACACAACAACACACACAACAACAACAGCAACATTCTTAGTTAAATGAAGGCTCAGTAGATGTCTTAGAATTATGAGCTATTGAGTATTAAAATCTGCTTTTCTTAACCAAAAATACTTTACGTTTATCTTCTTCATTGATGAAACTTTAACGAAAGCCTGTTCTGTGTTTTATCAGTTGATGTTAAAAGAACTGTTACGTGGATTTTGTCAAAATGTTCCTTTTCAGGAGATGTATTGTTTTGCATTTGCCTTCTAAGTGGACTGTTGTTGTGCGGAGTATAGTGAAGTTTTACAATGTTTATACCACGTGGGCTGTTTTGAAGAACACATTGGATAACAAGTATTAAAGAAGTAATACATAGAAAAATGAGCTACCCTGAATAATTTAAACTTTTACCACCTGAAAACATTTTCCAAAGTACCAGATAATTTATTTGTGCTTATCTGGGTACAAATGCAATTTAGGATTTTATCAGTAGTGAAGATTTGGTAGTCTCTCTCTCTCTCTCTCTCTGGTTATTAAGTAGATGATTTATTCTTAGTGAGATGTTAATACACACATTGTTAGTAGGACTGGATACGTTTCTGCTGTTCAGTTGGTTATTCTGTGTAATCAAACCAGAATGTCAATCTGAGATTGTCTTTCGAATACTCGTTTGTGATAAAGAATATGGAGCATTATCTGACCACATATAAATAGTAGTTTTGCGTTCCAAGAGACAGTCATTCAATCATGCAGCCTCTTACAGAGTTACTGGTAATTTATGTATTTTCCTTTCTTAGTTGCTGATGTATATTCAAGATGAGTGGATTAAGTGAAAACTCCTTGGATCCACTGGCCACTGATTCACGAAAACGCAAATTGCCATGTGATACCCCGGGACAAGGGTAAGTATTTTATTCCCTGTTGCTTTGTACCCCTACTTTGTTTAAAAATAAAATTCCCACTTCCTATTGTTTATATTTTTTGGTTGAATTTTTTTGTTTTTGCTTAATATAATTTGCTTTGTAGTGAATGGTACAGTAATGAGGTGGACATCCACATAATATAAGCTTCATTGCTGATTCTGGTAGAAGCTAGAGTATTTGTGTAACAGTCAGTACTGGAAGAAGCGTTTCTGAATGGAAGGAGGTAGGAGTTAGGAGGAGATAACCAAGGTTCATTGTAAGGAAGAATCTTTGTTATCTATTAACAATGAACAGAAAAGATGGATATTCTGGTGTTTGTAAGTTTCATCATTCTTTGCCTCAATGAAATTAGATAAAAAGATAGAAAAAATATCATAAAACGGGTAACTCTGTAGGTCTTTTAGTATTATGCCAAGGTCAGTGCCATTTGAATTTTAATGTGATAGTTGAAAAATTGAAAACAATATTTACACTGAATTAAATTTCATCATTAATAAGAAGTAGCTTATTATTATTTATTAATCGTTTTACTCTTCCTACAAAGGAAACACTGATTACCCCATTTTCCAGATACCTCTTCCTGGGACCAGCCAGCTAACAAAAGGATGGAATTGAATTTAGGTTTGCCTGAGTTTCTCCTGTTTTGTCCTAACCCATAGAGCCAGCGTTTAGTGGTTTCTACTGGCAGCATCTGCTTTGTTTGCATATAAAGTTAGTAGTACATAGGAGTTCGCTCTGCTCACAGCTTTCTTGTGACAGGTGTATTCCTGACTTCTTCTTCTTCTTCTTTTTCTTCCTCAGTCTTACCTGCAGTGGTGAAAAGTGGAGAAGGGAGCAGGAGAGTAAATATATTGAAGAACTGGCTGAATTGATATCTGCTAATCTTAGTGATATTGACAATTTCAATGTCAAACCAGATAAATGTGCAATTTTAAAGGAAACAGTAAGACAGATACGTCAGATAAAAGAGCAAGGTAATACAGAGTAAGAAAAACACTCAAGTCTTTTAGAAGGAACTTAGTAACTGTGTTTACATTTGCCTTTTTGCTACCTTGTTGTTGAGATGTGAATTAGTGCTAACCAGTCTAGTGTAATGTGGTGGGAACGATGGATGAGTAGATCAGCTTGGCTCTTCAAGAACTGTCAACAGAGGATTGGAAAAGAAGACCCACCGCTCCGATGGTAGTTAGTTCCCTTTTAGGAAGCCATGGACAGTACCTTTAGTAGTAAAAGAGAATTTAGTGTATTTTCTGCCCATTTGGGTAACTCTGAAGTTTAATTTGAAAATTTTAAAATCGTAGTGTCATCTCCTACCAGGAAATGCTGTGTGTGTGTATGCACGTGTGTGCACACATGTGTGTGTCTGTGCCTGTTCTGAGGAGGATTTGATCTGTAATTTACATACTTGCTGTTTGTAAATACAGCCTTCCGTCTTTTCAGGAAAAGCTATTTCCAATGATGATGATGTTCAGAAAGCTGATGTATCTTCTACAGGCCAGGGAGTTATTGATAAAGACTCTTTAGGACCACTTTTACTTCAGGTAAGTATAAAAGTTTTACACACTCAGTAAGCTCGGCAGCATTTTCTTAGGTTACTAAGTGATTAAAAAATTTGATGACATTTTGGCTAGGAAGCAAGAGCAAAAATAAAATTTTGTTTCTTCCTATGAGACAGAGCTCAGTGTTCTGAATGTGATGGTAAAATTTTCTTACATTTTCA